TTTAGGGTTTAGGGTTAAATCCTAAACCCTAAACCCAAAACCCTAAACCCTAAACTCTAAACCCTAAACCCTAAACCCCTAAACCCTAAACCCAAAAATCCTAAACCCTAAACCCTGAACCCCTCAACCCAAAACCCAAGCAACTCCCGAACGATGGTCGCAGTCTCTTCGGTCTTTAGAAGATCCGGCTCACTGTGGATCCTCACAGGCTGGCCATTTAGGGTTTAGGGTTTAGGGGTTTAGGGTTTAGGGTTTATTTAGGGGTTTAGGGTTTAGGGTTTAAGGGTTTAGGGTTTATTTAGGGGTTTAGGGTTTAGGGTTTATTCAGGGGTTTAGGGTTTAAGGGTTTAGGGTTTATTTAGGGGTTTAGGGTCTAGGTTTTATTTAGGGGTTTAGGGTTTAGGGTTTAAGGGTTTAGGGTTTACTTAAGGGTTTAGGGTTTAGCCTTTATTTAGGGATTTAGGGTTTAGGGTTTAGGGTCTAGGGGTTTAGGGGTTTAGGGGTTTATGCAAAACGGACGAAACCCTTCTTTTACCTGCTATCGCTTGAACATACCGGGCTTCGGTATGTACTCACTATACACTATACAAGTACACACTACACTGTAGAGAAACACAAGTCAGGTACGGAAGTTTCTCGCACCCTCCTTGTAGTGGGTATCTTGCTGTACTCGGTCGCGCATTGGGCTCAAATGCGTCACTTAGTTTTGCTTTTAAAGCAATACTTACAAAAGTCGAATCCCTTGATGTCGTCAGCTCTGTACAAACCTTGACACCCAGGGTCTGAGTGGACTTTGCGTCCCTTCTTGCTCATAAAGAGCTTTCCATGTGGGCACGTTGTACCCATGTACACAATCACCTCCTGGTTTCCAAATTGGATACACTTACAGAGGCAAAAGATTACCGCCAACATCATTGTGATGACGATAAAAGTGAAACTGATCATCATGAAATAGGGCATCCACGAAGCAACGGTATCACCCGCTCCATAAGGGATAAGATCCATGGGGTGTCTCCCTCAGAGGCCGGTGTCTACCAACAGCACTAACGAACTGCTTTGTGCTGAGCCTTGTGCACTGCTGCGGCTGCCACTTTCTCCAGCCAGTCAGTGCCCCAACCGATTGCATCGTGTTCTTTGAAACGTGCTTGTCCAGCCCTTGCTTGTCCAAGGTTACCAGACCCAGCATGCCCCTTGCTTCTTCTGTTTCGGCCCCCGTGGCCAAATGTTTTGTCAAAGCGTTTGAAGGATTTTCTGTCCCTTTTATCTTCTGCACAATCACTCTCTTCTCTTTCACAAGTTCTTGAATGTACAGATGTCCTAGATCCACATGCCTCATCTTTCCAACTCCAAGTCTTCTAGCAACTTGGATGGCTGCACTGCTGTCGCAGAACAGTCTCGGAACATCGATTGACATCCCGAAGTCCTCCACACCTAGGTTCCTCACGAACACCAGGTCCTGAGCACACTGAGTTAAGGCTCTGCTCCGCTTCCCCAGAGCTTGTAGCTGGGGTGCCTTGCTGCGTCCTCGATGAAGTCTCCACGACAGTCCCTCCTAGGACTATCACCTGTCCACTGGTGCTCTTTCTATCCTCTTTGTCCCCTGCCCAGTCACTGTCGCAGAATCCCTGGAGAGGAATCCCTGCAACTGGGTTCAACTGTTCGTCCAACTTGGTAACATGTCCCACGTGCATTGTCCCACGCAGGTACCTTCCTAGCACCTTGAGGTTTTGCATGTCGCATTCTCGCGGTTCTCTGATCCGCTTTGCCAGCTCTTTGCAGGCAAACTTGATGTCTGGTCTGTCTTGTGATAGGTATGTTGCGCTACCTACACAACTCGCGTAGACTTCCTTGGCCTTGCCTTCTAGAAGTTTGTTGTCTTGCAAGTTAAGCTTCTTTCCTGGCACTGGGCTTGACTTCGCTTGCTCAAGTCCTAGCATCCTAAGAATGTCGCTGATGTGCTTCTCATTCGGAAGCGTCACCACGGCATCCTCAACCAGGATCTTCTTTCTACCAAGAAACTCGCTAGTGCTACTGCTAGCTTCCCCAGGCCATTCAAGCTCACCCACTTTCAGCTTGCACCCACATTTTGGCAACTGCACCTTGAGTAGGTCGTCCAAAAGTGCTGCTGGACCACACACATCGAAATCGTCTATGTGATGAATCAACACAATGCCTGTACGCTTGCATCGAAACACACATGCATCCAACTTTCCTCTGTGAAACTCGTAAACTCCCTTTGGGAGTTCCTTGGTCAAAATGACCTCCAGACGATCTCTGTACTGTGCTGCCGCCGATTGCCTTCCGTACAGGTTCCCATCCACCTGCTACTCCTCCAGCCATTCCTTTGGTGGCCTCATCATCACCGGTTGTCCTTTAGCATCTCCTCCATCCTTTGCAATCAGAAAAGCTGAGCTAAGGTCAGCTGTCACCCTTGGCATTCTTGTAGCCAAAGAGTAAACTTCCAAAAGCTTCCTGGAGGTAGCGTGCGGCGTAGGGCAAAAGTTCGAGGGTCTGAGCTGTGCCTCTCATTTGCATCTTGCTTCTTCTTGAAATCTTGACATGTGAGTCTGGACTTCGCTACTCCCTCTGTCACCTTGTCAACCCACTTGTGACCGAAAACGGTCAGGTCTCTCGAAAGCTGACGCCCATCTCTAGGCGTAAAAGCTCCATAGACCTCGTTGAGCTTTCTCAGCTCCTCTTTGCGTGATCTCTTTAGCTCTCTTTCATCCATCTGCATTGTGTCCAGGTAGTCCATGATGTTGCTGACCATATTTGCATCAAAGCATCCTTTATTTCGCTTCAACCATTCCTGATAGGACTTGTAGTCCTCTTTTCCAAGGCACTTGCTTGCCTCACTCCACTCACCATGGTTGCTGATGCAGGATACCATGTCCTGGGCGTTGTCTCCCGGAAGCGATGGGGAATAGAGACTCATGTCGAGACTCCCTGTCCCCATGCTAGCATCGGGCGATCCGATGTTGAACTGCAACGGTCCGCTCGAAGCTTGAGCGGTGTCACCCGCGGGCTGCTTGGCATCTGCAGGTTCCACCCTTGCTCTCTTGCTTTCTGGCCCCTCGCTCATAGCCTTCTCATGCTTTTCACCTTGCAATGGCACTGGCATCGGAACAACCAGCACCTCCTTTTGTTCACCAGACCCAAAGTCGTAGGTCTCTGCAGCCTCCAGCTCTGGGACTGAGACTGCTTTCTGCTCTGACTTCTCTTGCGCAACTCTGGTGGTTGCTATCCCCAAGTACCGGTTCCACGGCACTCCTCTCGCCTTCTCAAGAACCTCCACACTGTACTGGGAACTCTCAGGCAACCTTCACGCAGTCCTGCAGGTTTGCACGCCTGCTTCCGTGAGCAAAAGGTGCTCATCACCGAGTGCGTTCTTTGACACATACACTCCCCGAAACCATCTCGGGGCTGCCTTGTCCTTCTGCTTGGGATACTTTGCCATGGCCACTTGACCAAAGGCCATCATCTCTCCGAGGTAATCATACCCATTCACAATCCTGAAGGCTGTTGTCTTTGAGTGGTTGATGTGGAATCGTGCCAACGTCCATGCGCTGTGTCTCACAATCCACGGAAACAACACACTGTCACAACCGATCTTCGTCTTGCACTTCTCGGACACTTCAGCAAGCCACGTGCGCACCTTTCCCGCGATGAGACCATTGACCATCTCTCCATCCGCCAAGGACTGAGAGCTGTATCGCGGTGATCTCCGCAAGGTTATGGTGTCACCCATGCCTGCCTTCACCTTCTCGTAGATCTTGTTCAAAGCGCTTTCTTGGTCAAACTGAATGACCACCTTGTCCCATTTGAGGTCCTTGACCCAACTCGTAAGCGCCTTGCTTGCGTAATCCACGCTGGCTTTGGAAGGCAGCGCCAACGCAAAGGGATACTGGCTGTCTTTGCAAATGGCCGTCAACACGGTCACCAACCCAGTCTTCTTCTTCTTCTCGCCTTTCTCCTTGCTCACTTCTGCTCCCTCCTTGGAGAAAAACATGTAATCCGAGTAGATGATGTGCTCCTTCGGCTCCTCCTTGATTCTGCGGTGCTGCTTGCTCTTTCCTTGCCCCATCACACAAACAGGGCACCAACTCTCAAAGTTGGCGTGGTGGAGACTATGCTCCTCCACCTCTGCAGCTGTCGGTTCCTTCGGTGCCTTGATCGTCTTAGCTTTCCGGTCGTCGTCTCCTTCGTCCACCACCAGGCGATCATCTGCATCCTCTTCGTCCTCGACGATCTGCTCGTGAGCTTCTTCTCCTTCAAGCACCTCTTTCTCGTATGCCTCATCGAGACCTCGCATCCATTCATCCTCGTGACTTGGTTGCTCCTCATCTGGAGCTGCGTCCTCTGCACGCTCGGGCTTCAACCTGAACCAAGTTTCACCAAGCCACGCGTGACCCATGTCTCTCATCGCATACCGCCTGTCTTCCCACATGCTGCGGTCCTCCCTTCGAGAGCCATCCTCCTCGAAGATCATCTTCGTGAGCCTTCCGCTCTCGATTCGATCTAGTGGCACTGGGAGATCCTTGACCTTGGGAGCGAAAAGTCGCTTTCTTGCATTGTTGTGCTCCCTGATGAGGTACTCCACCCCATCCTTCACTTCTCTCTTCCATCTGTCGGGCTCCTTTGGCCCTAGGTCCAACTCATCTCCAACGGGGGCTATGCGCCCACGTGCTGGCTTTGGACCCTCTGTCTTGTCCATCACCTTCAGGTACCACCTCTTGCCATGCAGCTCAAGTGGTACGGTGTCACCCGCTCTCGTTTCGAGGTAACACCCTCCTGGGCTGAAGACTACCTTGTGTCCCCTCGCTACCAGGCTGTGAACCGAAACGAGGCTCTCAGCAGCATCTGTCACGGTCATCTCGACTGAACCGCTTGTTTGACCGAACATGACCTGTGGATACTGCTTACCGTACACTTTAAGGGGGGTACCTTGTACACTGAAAAGCGGCTTGGCTTTGGAAGCATCTATCTCAGCCTTGAAGTCCCCTACTTTGGCTACACTCTCACACGCTCCGGAGTCCACAAGAAGATGCCTGCATCCCAACTGCTCGGTGCCAACAGCCGAAACCACGCTGTCACCAACAGTGAAAATGACATCCTCATCACTCCACTTCACAATGCGCGGCGAACCCTCAAACACAGATCCCACTGCCGTGTTGCTCCCACTGGCGCTGTCCTTAGCACCGTCTGACCCACCGGTTCCACCTGTGTCGGTAGCAGTCTCAGTGTCGACAGCTCCAACCTTCCACCAGCAATCTGCGGCAATGTGTCCATGTCTGTGGCATATATGGCACTGCTTACCTGCGTGCGGGTTGTTGCTCTTCCCTTTTCCGCTGTTGGGTTTTCCTTTTGCTCCTTTGCTGTCAGCACCCTTTCCTTTTCCATCCTTTCCTTTCTTTCCTTCCTTTCCTTTTCCTTTGTTGTCCTTGTTCTCCCAACCTTGTTTGTTGCTCCACTTCTCCTTTCCTTTGTTGCTCCAACTGTCCTTGTTCCAGTTGCCCCGTCCTTTTCCTTCCTTCCTATCACCTTTTCCTTTTCCTTTGTCGCCCTTGTCTCCCTTCACTCCTCCAATGTCCATGGGCCTCAAACCTCCATCGTCATACTGCTCTGCGTTCTTGTTCGCTGCCTTGGTCAAACCAAACTGCGACCCTTGAGGTCTCTTCCACAAGTTTCTGTTGATTAGGTACTGCTCGATGTATTCACGAATCTTGCTGTAGCTATCTAGAGCGTCACTGCAGCTCCTTCGGCGCAACATGTGCCAAGATCGACACCTTCTCGTCCTCAGAGAAAGTGGCCTTGTAGGTGCGCTCGAACTCACGAAGCTCAGCTTCCCACTGATGAAGCGCTGTGCTCCACTGTGAGATGTCACTTGGAAAGCTAGGGTTTGCCAAGTGCCTTCGCCAAACCCAAGCCTTGGTACGGTGAGCGGGCTCGGTCCAAAGTACCAACCTTCTCCAAACCTCAAACCCATTTGCATCATGCAACCCTTGGCCTATGACGTTCATGGTAGGTTCCGGGCAGTACTGGATGAGGAACGTGTACATAGCCTTAGCCAACCGATTCTCCTCAGAGGTGAAATTCGACTCACCCACTGGCTCCTTCATCTTACCATAACGCTCCAAAAGCTCAGGGTATCGCTCATGAACTGTGCTAGACCATGCTACAAACACATGCTTGAACTTTTCCCACTCTTCTTTCTTGCCGTTGAAGGTGTGAGGTTTCGGGACGTGAGAGGGGTGAATGAGATCTTTCTCTTTCCTCTCAACACTCACTGCCGCCGTTCCTGCTGTTCCCTGTGTGGCTGCTGCTGCCGCTGCTGTTGCCTGCAAAACGTTCTCAGCTGCTAAAAGTCTTGCCTCGGCCTCCGTTGCCCTCTTTTTTTTGTTGCTGCTCGTAGGCAACATTGGCCCTTTGTAGGCCCTCAGTCAGTTCCTGAACCCGGGCAGCAAGCGCCTCTAGCGTCGCCGCCATGACGGGTCAGTCTTAAAAAAACTTTCTATCTGTACAGATCTACACCGCTACGGGCGTACACGCCGAGGTCGGTATCGAAGTCGCCACAAAAGACTCGGCGGTGTCACCCGCACTAGCGGTGCCAACCCGATGAGTCGGTGCGGTACCGCCAATTGCGGTACCACTCCGCCCACCTTCTGTTGGCCTCCTCTCCTTGCCACGCGGTCTGCCACGCGGTCTGTGGGTACGCGGCTGCCTGCAACCAGCTCTCCTCCTGCTAGCCTTGTCCAGACCAGTCCTCCCACTGGCCCGGCGGGTGGCTGGGCCCACCAGTGCCGCTGCTCGCAGCCTCGTCGCCTCCTCGCCTTGCAAAGCCCACCGACGAAGCTCGGCTTTCGTAGGCTAAGGAGCTGGACGCCGCGCTTCCAGCCCGAGCCTTGGCCCTCGGTGGCTCTGCCGGCTCTGGTGGCGCCCTCTGGTGCCTCTTGGCCCTTGCCGCCTCCTTCCTGCGCTCTCTGGCGCGCTCGTCCTTCCTTAAGAGGGCGGCCACCCCGTTTGGGTCTGCGGGGTCCGAGCTCGCCTCCGAGTCCTCACTAATCCAGTCCGAGGTGTCGCCTTCTTCTTTTACCTCCTCCGGCTCTTCTTTGGCCTTGTTCTGCTCCGGCTCTTCCTCGTCGCTGGAGGTGAAGACGGTGGTCGGCGCGTGTGTCGCGGTGGCACCGTCCACAGATGCAGCTGGTTCCGTCCAGCTCCACTCTGTAGGCGGTATCACCCGCGAAGCCTGTCTTGCTTCGAAGGTCTCACCCTCGCTTTTTCCAGCCTCCGCACCGGAAGAGCTCCCGGAAGCGGCCCTTCTGTTTCCGCGTGCCAGGCGCCCAAGCCCTGCCGAAACTCTTTTCGAGGCCACTTGCCTCAGAAAGCTCTGTCTGGCCGACTTCCCTGGGTTCTCGGCCGAGATGGCCGATAAACCAGGGTACTCTCTTCTGAGTCGGCTCCAGGTCGCGTCCTCCTCGACCGACGGCAACTCGTCTGGGACCCACACGTCGTCTCCCAGCCACTCGCCGTAACCTAAACCTTGTCCCTCCTGCGGTCGACTCTGCAACCCCAAGGCGTCTTGCACGGTCACGTCCTCGACCTCTGGCGCCTCCAGCGCAGGTCTCTCGACCTCCTCGTCTCCTCTCTGCAGAGCTCGTTCAGCACGCCGAGCAAACCCTCTGAGGATCCGCTTCTCCTTGGCTTGCTCGCTCCTCACTCGTCGACCAGGAGGCCCCTCTGAAGCTGGACCTCGGCTTCCAGACGACTCTGCGCCTTTGGCCTGACCTTTTCTGGTCTTGCCTTTTCCTTTATTGCCACCTTTTCCCGTGGCTTCCTTCTTTCGGCTGCTACTAACGCAGCTCGAAGTCGGCTTGCCTTGTTTTACGAGGGTTTAAGGACAAGCCTCCCTCGGTCCCTCAGGCTGGCCTCCTCCGCTTAGCCTGCGGTGTCACCCGCTGCTGCTACCAACGCAGCTAGCGGTATGAAGCCCGCTTGCACGAGCTCGGTGCCTCTCCTCTAGGCAACCAGGAGCTCCGCTACCATGCAAAACGGACGAAACCCTTCTTTTGCCTGCTATCGCTTGAACATACAAGGCTTCGGTATGTACTCACTATACACTATACAAGTACACACTACACTGTAGAGAAACACAAGTCAGGTACGGAAGTTTCTCGCAGTTTAGGGTTTAGGGGTTTAGGGTCGGTTTGGGGTCTAGGGTATAGGGTTTTGGGTTTAGGGGTTTAGTGGTTTAGGGTTTAGGGTTTATTTAGGGGTTTAGGGTTTAGGGGTTTAGGGGTTTAGGGTTTAGGGTTTAGGGGTTTAGGGTCGGTTTGCGGTCTAGGGTATAGGGTTTTAAATTGGGTTTTGGGTTTAGGGGTTTCGGGGTTTAGGGGTTTAGGGGTTTAGGGGTTTAGGGGTTTAGGGGTTTAGGGTAGGGGTTAGGGGTTAGGGGTTACGGGTTTAGGGTTTAGGGTGGCCAACTTACACAGGATGCGGGACTTGGCAAATGAAAATAGGGGTTGTAATAGTTCGCCTCGGCCCCGGCCGAAGTCAGAGGTTCCTATTCGGACTTCCTCGACACCCCACACCCTCCAAAAAGCTCATCCGCAAAGGGGGGGGGGGGAGTCCCTTTGGTGTGAGAAAATGAGCTTTCGATGAAATCTCGCCTCCTCCAATGCAATGGAAAGGATTGGGCTCCCCCCCCCCACACCCCCGCTCCCGCTCCCCCCCCGCTCCCCCCCCCTCCCGCCCCCCCCCGACCCCTCCGCCTGCCTTGCTTCTGGTTGATGCGCCGCCGAACGCAATCTCCTCCCCTTCCCCTCATCCGCTCCGCCAACGGCGCCTTCAGCACCAGCAGTTCGTTGGCCCTCTTTGTTTGCGGCCGGGCCGAGGCGGACGACGCGAAGCGTTTAAAATTATACTATAAGCAACCCCCAAAATAGAAAAGGTAATGATTAAGGCCCTTTTT